TCTCTGTTTGAAACAACCCTAGGTGGAGGAGGCCTGTGGGATGACCTAGGATGTCGTGGCTTGGGAAGAATGATCAGCCTTGTTGGTGTTAGCTACCCAAAGATGAATGATGATACTCACACACACATACACACTTCCTTAGCGGGAGCCCCCACGGTGGGGGGATGAGGCAAAATGGCTTCCAGGTGAACCAAGGCCTATGAGAGGGGATGGTGCATTCACACTTGGTTCATACCATCTTGAACTAGGGCTATTTAACAACCCTGACATCCTTTCCAATCACTGCAATGAAAATAGTGCATCCAGTGACGACATTGACAGCAGTGATTACAACAAAAAAGCAGTGTATCAAATAGGCAACATAACAATAGTGTTGAACACCATCCTTTGCTTTATTGCAACAAAGAGAGCATGGGTAAGGATGGTCTACAGACTACAGATTGGTCACCATCATTTTTTTTTTTTTTTTTTTTTTCCACAAACCAGGTCACCACCTATCACTCATTGTCCCTGTGGCATTTGATAGTTACTGAGAGTGTGTTAAGTGTGGTACAACAGGTCATCAAGGAGATGACAGCTGTCCAGGTCCAGTCTGCTATTATCACTGCTAAGTCCCTGAAGCTTCTTCAAAGCACTGTATAAGGTACAAGTTTGAAAAAGAAGTATTGGTAATAAGGAGAAAGTTAGTTTCCCAAAGACAAGGTGTTGTGCCCGTGTGCTGTTCACACAACCAGGTAAGTCCTTTACATTGGTTATCCTCCAATACTTCTTACACCACTCATTCTACCTTCCTTCACATAAATGATTTGGAAGATCTACTTGGGCAGTTGCCCCATCCATTCCTACTCTTGGGAGATTTCAATGGCCGGCATCAGCTCTGGGGAGACACTGTGCAACCCTCGAGGAAGGGCCTTGGAGTCCTTGCTCTCAAAAGGAGATGCAGTCTTTCTGAACAGTGATATGCCCACACAGTTCCAAATTCACACTGAGATATTCTCCATTATTGACCTGTCAGTTGGTTCAGTAGGATCACAGTTGGATTTTACTTGGTAGGCCATGGAAGATTTGTATGGAAGCGACCGGTTTCCAGTACTATTGGAGGTGAATGGTATACCAGCCAATGGGGTGAAGAGATGGTGACTTGAACGTGCAGTACCATCGACCTCTGATACCATAGTGGTCTGATAAATGCCTACAAGCTGTCAGAGCAAGAAAAGCTGCTTTAAGGTAACTGAAAAGATGGCCCAGCGATGTAACCTTGATCCAAAAAAAAGACATGAGCCAAGGCCAGGTGAGTGCTAAAGTAGGCTAGACAGACGTCGTGGAGGCAGTATGTCTCCTTGATGAATTCTGGGACTCCCTTAGCATGGGTATGGGACAAGGTGCATAAGATTGCTGGAAAGACCACATACATGTCACGACCAGTTCTGAAGATAGATAGCATAATCCTCACAGACAAAAAAGACATTGCAAATAAACTAGCTAAATCTATGGCAGAGATCCCCTCTGCAGCATCTTACACTGCCCGATTCTCCATCCTTCAAGCTAAACAATAACGACAACCAATGTCATTCTTTAGTAGAACTGCAGCAGAACTTCCATACAACTTGCCATTTTTGTGCAAGGAGATGGACTCCACTTTGCAGCTCTGTTGTAAGACTGCCCCAGGAAGTGATGACATTCCATACCAAATGATATCTCACTTACCTGAGAGCTCCCAAAAGTTCCTGTTGGACCTATTCAATAGGATCTTTAGGATGGAAAGAAGTTATAATCATGCCTATTCCTAATACTGGCAACGATACTTCTATACCCGGACATTGCAGACCAATTTATCTCACCAGCTACACATGCAAGTTGATTAAGAAAATGGTAAACTTCAGGCTGGCATGGTTACTAGAAAAAGAAAATGTCCTCATATCAGCATGGGTTTAAATAATTGAGATTGACCACAGATGCACTTGATGGAGACTGTTATACTGTATCCCTTTGTATAACGAAGTCTCATGTTTTCTTTGGCCGCTAAAAGGCTTACGATACTACTTGGAAGCATGGCATATTCATGAAGCTGTATGACATTGGTTTAAGAAGAGCATTACCTACCTTCATACAAAGCTTCCTTGCTGATAGGAAACAGTGTCTCTAACCTGGAAGACCAGCTGGAAGGTGTCCCACAAGAGTGTCTCCTAAGTGTAACCCTGTTTGCTATTGCTATCAATGACATCATAAAGGTCGTTCCAAGCGCTGTCTTGTGTAGTCTGTATGTGGATGACTTCACACTGTACTGCTCTGGAGGAAGCTTACAGGATGTGCAATAAATCAGGTTGTGCAGTGAGCAACATACCATGGTTCAAATTTTCTACAAGTAAGATCATTGTTATGCATTTCCGCAGGAGAGGAAAGTTCTATTCAGGAGCAAACCCACTGCATTCTGTCCAAGAAGTGAAGTACTTAGGTCTAACTCAACTTATTCGTAGCAAACTTGGATGTGAGGATTATTTATCTGACAGTCCCACTGTTCTTCGGATGTTGGACTCAGTTCACAATGAAATTCTCAGAATCTGTATGCTGAGAGTGGAGAATT